CTTTTGATGGATTTGAACATTTGTTCTGAGATTTTTTTTAAAAAAAGTTTTCCCATAAATCCATAGGCTTGCATGTCCTCATTATCTAATCAAATATCTAAAACTACCTCTGCTTATTCACTGGGGGTCAACTAGCTAAGTGTACTATTATCCACTGCCTAAAACAGATGTTCTTTACCTGGGGCGTGTGAACTTTAAAAAAACATATATTTTGATAATTGTATTTCAATATGATTGGCTTCTTTCGTAATCCCGGGTATTTTATTTTATGCATTTAAAAACATTATTCTGAGAAGGGATCTATAGGCTTCACTAGATTTTCCAGAGGGATCCATAATACAAAAAATGGTTAAGGTCCTCTGGCCTAAAAGATCCCCAATTACTGGCCGAAAGGGATGTCAATTGTAGCCTCTGAAATCCCTTCTTGGAAAAGTGATTTTAACAAAATCAGACCCTAAGTTCCAATCCCTATCACCAGATTTGTCCAAGCAATTTGATGTTGGTTGGGGGTGTTCTTCACTGGCCCTACAGGCATTCAAGTCAAGTGAGAAGATCTGAGATGGAGTCAAAATCCATTTAAGACCCATAGAATGATTAGACTCAACTCAGCCCAGTGACTCTTCCCTCCATTGATCTACTATGGTACTTATTATCTATACCACTCATGTGGCATTCATTATTTACCACCTTGTATCCTTTGCTATGTTTCCAAATGTGCTTGTTCTGCATCTCTAACTAGATTGACAAACCCTCAAAGACAGGAGCTTAACAGTGCCTTGCACATAATGGAAGTTAAATAAATGTTTGTTTGATTGATGGGACTACAATCCCTGTTCTCTTGGGCCTGAAATAGCATATGTTGTAGTTAATGGGGAGAGGGAAACAGACAAGTCTCCTGGAGCCTGGAGTTGATTATTAAAAAAGTAATCTGGCAGATAGGAAAATTCCAAACTCCTAGACAGCCTGTGCATTCTTGCAGATCATCGGGGAGAGAGCCCACTAGTTTACCTGATTGGCACGAGGCAGCCACCCCAGATGTGCAGTCAGACCTGATGGAACTCCCAGTTCCCTAATCTGCAGACTCAAGAATGCTGGGGGCAGACTCTCATCGGAGCTTTCACAGCCCCTGGATAGGGACAGGTCTCCAATTACAGGCTGCCTGGCAGCTCTGCTGCTACTTCAGGACACCCCACCCTACCACTGCTACGTTAGTATCAAAAACAGTTGCCAGAGAGTGACACAGCGGACAAGAAAGATGGCGGAAGTACATGGTATGAAGCCGGAACTGAAGGTCAACATTTCATTTGTTCCTGTTGTCTTTTCACGTAAGCAGCTTCGGTCATCCTCTCTCCTTTCCTCTCCCTCAGTTGAATGGGCTGCAAAAATGACACACAGCTATCAATATAGAAATCAAGGGGGCAGCTAGGTGGCGCATGGGGGCAGCTAGGTGGCACAGTAGATAGACCACTGGCCTTGGATTCAGGAGGACCTGAGTTCAAATCCAGCCTCAGACACATAACACTTACTAGCTGTGTGACCCTGGGCAAGTCACTTAACTCCATTGCCTATCCTTAAAAAAATAAAAATAAATAGAAATCAACCCATTAATCATCTTGTTTTTGTATAGTTCTTTATATTTCTCCAAGTCCTTTCACCCATGTTACTGCCTTTGATCTTAATAATAATAATCATTGACATTTACATAGTTCTTGAAGTTTTGCGAATATATACTTGCATTATCTCATTTTATCCTTGTGCTACATGGAGGCTCAGGGAAATTGTGACTGGCTCAAGATCACCCACCTAGTAAATGTCAGAGGCAGAATTCAAACTAGGGTCCCTCCTAACTCCAAGGCCAGCAGTTGTTCTAATATACAACTTTGTGAGGTTGGCAGGATAGAAATTTTCATTCCCATTTTATAGATGGAGAAGCAGAGACAGAAATTTAAATGATACAGCTAAATGAGTGAAGAGCTTGGACCAAGGCTGAAATATCTCAGGTTTGTAATTTGGGTGTAGGTGTATAAATGATGTCCCATACTTAACTGAAGACTCCAAAGAAATTAAGATACTGAAGATCTGCATGTCAGTGCCATGTTCTTAGGACCATAGGAATATAGACTACAAGCAGAAAAGGGCCTTACAGGTTGCTAGGTTCATCCCCTCATTTTACAGATACAAAAACTGAGAATGAAAGAGATCATGATTTGCCCAAGGTCACATAGGTAGTAAAGTACAAAGTGAGGATTTGAATCTAGGATTTTTGATTTCAAATCTAGTGCTTTTTCTACAGCAACAAAATACCTTCCCCATTGTTGCTACCATCATGCCTTTTTCACAGAAAGTTTCTTCCAACCCCCAGCTTCCTATTGCTCTCATCTCCAGGTCTTCCTGAATGAGAGCAATAAAAATCCAAGAATCCAAATGTTTGCGGAACTTCTTATCCCTATGGACCAATGAATGCTAAAATAGACTCCAATGAAACCTTAGCCTTTGGCTGGCTTCTAGCCTGGTATCCATCTGCAGAAGTAATGCCATTTTCCCCAGTCAGTTTTCAATTCTATTTGATTAACAATGCATACAAGCCAATCCTGGGTTGGTTGAAATGGAAGTCAAATATATTGACATGCAGAGATTAACTTTTTTGTCCCCTTTCACTGCTGAGAAATTTGAGAAGCTGTCAGTATAAGACATCAGCACCATTCTATCCATAACCACATTTGGAAACCATAGTTTAGTTTCCTATATAACACCAAAGTGCTAATAATGAGAAACCACCGTATTTTGAAAGTACACTGAATCCTAGATGCTCATTGATAGGGGAATGGCTAAATTTGTTACATAAATGTAATGGAATATTAATGTGATGTAGGAAATGCTGAGTATCATGAATTAAGAGAAGCATGAAAAGACTTAAATGAAGTGATGCAAAATGAGGTATACAGAGCCAGGAAAACATCAGCAATGCAAATGGAAAAAACAACCACCACAGAACTATCAAAAATGAATTTTGAGAAATTACAAAGAACAAGCTTGGCCCCAAAGACCCTCAAAGATATCTTCCCCTTAGGGAGACAACAGCAAAGTGGCTCCCTGAATAGAATGCTGGGCCTCGAGTCAGAAAAACCTGAATTCCAGTCTAGTTTCAGATACTTACTAGGTGTTTGACCCTAGGCAAGTCACTTTACTTTTGTCTATCACAGTTTCCTCGACTGTAAAATGGGGATAATAGCACCTACCCTCAAAGATGTTATGAGGGTCAAATGATATCATATTTGTAAATCACTTAACGCAGTGCCTGGTACATAGCAGATTCTTAATAAATGCTTCTACCAATGAGGGTGGAACATTGAATATATTCTGAGTTGTTTTGATGGCTTTTTTCTCTTCTTTTTTTTTAACTATTTTTTTTATAAGGGATGGATCTCTGGTATGGAGAGGGCAAAAATACAGGGGAAAAGAAAATACACTGGATCCTTCCTAGAGCCAAAGTACATTTTTAATTTCTCTGTTCTTTCCTGTAAGAAGCCAAATGCCCATTTGTACTTTTTTTAAAAAGGACACTACAAATGCTTTGTGAAATTTCTTTGTTGTTTTTACGTTTTTGCAGGAGTGTTTTTATTTTGCAATCAATACATTGCAAACATGAAGAAATCATGACGACTCTCCATAATGACTCATCCTCTACCTATGCTGGAAAATATCCTAATGCATAGGTGACCCAGTTTTCTACCCGTAACATTTCCATGCTTTGCAGCCTTACTGAAATTCTACAGAAATAAGAAAGAGGAGGAGAAGAAGGGGGAGAAGGAAAAAAGATGAGAGGAGAAGGAAGAGGAGAAGAAAAGATTACTCATGATTCTATACTGTCTTAAATTTTATGAAGCACTTTACATACAATATCCCTGTGAGATAAGATAGTGCAAGTATCATTATTCCCACTTTACAGATGAGTAAATTGAGGCCCAGAGATATGAGTGACTTGTTCATAGTCACACAACTATAAATTGTCAGAGGCAGGATCCAAATCCAAAAATCCTTGACTCCAAATCTAGCTTTTTTTTTACCCTTACATGCCAAACACTTAACACCTGTAAGGATCTGCCCTTAGTTTTGGTCTGACACAACCCGGTCCTGCCAAGTAAACCTACTTGCTTATTTAATATGACTCAGGGTTAGCTACACCCTGAGAATGTAGTCATTGGCACTGTATCAAGCAGGAAGTGCATAAGAAGCTTCCAGACCAAGACAGAAGTGATTTCAATTTGGAAGTGTTTTGGTCTATGGCACCTCGTGTCTGTTCTCCTCACTGCTTGCCTGGCCTCTTACCCTTGCCATGATGTCTAATACCTATGTGATCCCTAGCTTCTAGCTGCTTGCCTGACTTCTGACTCCCAAATCCTTCTTGACTTCTGGTTTCCAAGCAATGCCTCTACATTTTGTTTTCCTTGCCTCCCAGTTCTGGTTTCCCACCCTTTATCTGTGACCAGCCATTGCCAATGGTCTTCAGGTGGAGATGTTTATATCTATATATCCATATCTTTGAAGTCCACATCCAAATCTACATCTTTTCCAGGAATTAAAATGAGTAAAACTGACGTTCTCCACTACTCGCAAAATGTAAATCATTCTTTTCCATAGTTCATCTCTCCCCACTGTGAGATTCTTCCATCTCCTCCCTTCTTATGCTTCCTATGGTGTGGTTCCCAAGTGTCCCTGGTCAGGCTAGTTTATTTATCTGTTTTCTTATGCCTAATTTGAACACTAAATACCAATCCCTATGCTCTGACTATACTTCTTCCTGTGTCTTTCTGCCTGGTTTGTCCCTCTCGATGTAGATCCCAGCCTATCTACCTGGAATCTATAATGACACGTTCCCTACAATTTGATGTCATACCCCAGACCCTGACTTCAGTTTTACCCTCCAGATTCCTAGAGATTAAATGCCCCTTTTCTTACCATTTTCCCTAACTGACCTCAAAATTATGATCTTTCTCCAGGTCACCAAGCAGTCTACCACCTATCCTGGCTCCTGGTTCTGGCCTTTTCTTCCCTGCCCAGTAATTACCCAATAAGTGGTGATGACAGGTGGGACCTTGCCACATGCCTCCCTTTATACATCACAGACATGCAGGTGGATGCAAGTTCTATCTACACCTAAAACAAATACCATTTACCAGGTAGGTTTCAGGAACATTGGGTTGATTTAATATATTCCATCCTTACAAGGTGCTTTCCTCTCCCCCCTTTCCATTGAATTTAGTTTAAACCGACGTGTGGCATCCTGGCAATCCCAGTTGCAGAATTCACCGTGTCATTTTGAAGAAAAATTATTCCAAATAAAAGGAATCAGGAATTTTAATGCTAGGAGTACAAGGAAAAAACAGAATAGGTTATTCAATCCATAAACAGAATGGTGTAGTAGAAAGCAGGAATCAGAGAACCAAAAGTCTGCATAACTTTTTGGAGACTAAACACTTCCACAGTTCTTTTGGTCCAGGAATCTCTTTCAGACTATATAAGTGGAAAATTATCCTCCTCAGAGAGTAAGAAAAAATAACTATTTATCTGTATTAATCCAGAGACAAAAGAACTACTGAAATTGTAGGGGAGGAGGAAAGAGAAGCAAATATTTATCTTAAATAAACATAAAATGTTTTCTGCATTCTTTTTTTATTTTCTTAAAATTAAGAGTTCTTAATTGCCTGATTTGAGAGATGACATATCATATCTATCAATCAACTAGGCAACAAATATTTAAGTGCCTACCTACTATGTGCCATGAACTATATGAGGCACTGGGAATACAGATACAGAAGTGAAACATCCTGCGCCCTAGAGGAACTTACATTGCAAAGGAGTAGACAACATGTACATACATCACACCTCATCAGTACCCTCTGCTCCTGGGAGCCCTCTGAATGGAGAATGGAGTAGAGAGCTCCTTCAATAACTTTCATCTAAATAGCGTGCCCAGGTTAGCCATTGCTTCATTTCAAACCCACTTTGGACTTGTTCCTCATGCCTCTGGTATCACCTAGCTCCCCTTCTCCCCCCTTTTAAGCTTCTTTTTGTGTGTTGCCTTCCTCCATTAGACTGTTAGCTCCTTGAGGGCAGGGATTGTCTTTCTTTTTTCACATTTGCATCCCCAGCACTTAGTATAGTGCCTGGTTCTTAGTAGGTGCTTAATAAATGTTAATTGACTGGCTGACATGGGTATATGCAAGATAAATATAAGAGAATTTATAGGGAGAGAGCAGCTAGGGAGATGGGAATGGCTTCAGATAAAGGTGGCACTTGAACTGAGTTCAAGATCGAGAAACTAGATACCCTAGAAGGTAAAGATAAGGAGCAAGGGCATTCTAGGCCAGGGGAACAGCTTATGCAAAGGCACAGAGGTGGGAGATGGATTGTCATGTGTGAGGAACAGCATGAGGGCCATAGAATGTATGTTGGGGAGTAATATATGTCTACCACAAATAATAAGGAATTTCCCATGTCATAGGAAGAGTTTGACAGGTACAAAGATACTGGAATTATTTCACGTGAAAGCCCCCATAATAAATACCACTGCCCCAACCAGCTACCATCTGACTCTACATGACTCAGCTGCTTTCTCATCCCGGAACTTCCCCCCAGTCATGTTGGCCCCCCTCTCCCATTGCTGAGCACCTTGAAAGCAGAGACTATTTCTTTATTCTTGTATTTATATCCTCAAGCACTTACTTAATACAGTGCCTGGAATATAGTAAACCTTTAATAAATGCTGATTGCCTTTCCTTAAATGGCTCAGAAGTATAATAAGTTTTCAAGCAAAGCTGTAACTAGAAACTTTTGTATCCAGGTAGGGGTTTGGGGTTGAGGAGGACAGCCCATGGAAGGGAAGAAGTATCCTCTAGGACAATGCAAAGTTTCTAAGGTGCTGGCAGTTGTTTGGAAGGAAGAGGGAAAGGGAGGAAGGAAGGTGAAGGTCTTGGGTATAACCACCAGGTGGAAGAAGCCTGCTAAGAATGATGCTGTCAGCACTCTATATTTTGGCAGCCTGGGACAAGGCCTTGTTTTTTCTTCCTTAGTAATGACATACTGTCAAGCAATGATGGTAGGATTTTTTTTTTCTCAAACAACTATGATGTACTTCTTTAAAGGATTAATCAGTAAGTTGCAATAGAGTTTTCTGGTTCCAAACTCTTGAGTTCATTTTAGTTGAATTGAAATGCCTATATATTCCATACCACGGTGATCAAACACACAGTTGTTTGTCTCGGGCTGCCTCTCCTTAGACACACCAACATTTTTACTCTCTTCTGTGGCATCCCAACTAGTCCCAAGGCAATGAAAAAATGTCAGCCCAGCTGTAGGTGTTTATGATTCATCGGGTGTTGGGACAACTGTGAGTGACAGAATGATACTTTAGAACACAATGGTCTCAGCCAAAATCTCACCTTCTTCAGGAAGCCTTTCCCATCCCCCTTGATATTAGTACCTTCCCTTCAAGGTTATCTCCCATTTATCCTATTTATGTCTTGTTTGACTTGACAACTTGGAAAAATCACATCTGCAAGCAAAGGTCTTTGTCAGATCAGAATATGTAGAAAATAAATGGAATTAAAATACAATATGCTTATGAGAAGACAAACATATTCCCAATGGCTATTCATTTTTTCTTCCCCAAAGGTTAAATGCCATCCAGTCTCTTTCAGTCAGGCAAGCAGCAAGCATTTAAGTGACCCACTCTGAGACAGGCACTTCACTAAGCCCTGGGGATACAAAGAACGGAAAAAAACAAAAAACCCAAAACCAGGCCTTACTCTCCAGGAGTTCACCATCTATTGGGGAAGACAACATGCAAATAACTATTGAGAAGCAAGATAAATATATGATAAATTGGAGATGGTAAACAGGGTGGGGGGGAGGGAAGTATAATAAAACACTGAATTTGGAGTAAAAAGACCTTGGCTTAAATCTTAATTTGGTTTCTTACTAGGGCAAATAATATTATCCTCTCTCTGGACCTCAGTTTACTCATCTGTAAGATGAAGGGCTTTGATTAGATGATTTCTAAGGTCTCTTCCTAGATGACCCTAACTTTAAGCCAAAAGCATAAGTACAAATTTTGTTACAAATTTTCTTATCCAGTACTGAGACCAATTGTGGTTTGTAACATTCCCTGGACTATAGCATATGTTCAAAGTTTTTCCAGGGATTCATCTCAAGGATAAAATTTTCCAGAGAGCTTATCACCCAAGAGTTTGGCTCTGCCCACTCTGACTGGATGTTCTGTACCACTCTTCCCCCTATTCATTACTCAACCCTTTAAACAGCCTTTGATAGTGATTTCTCTGCCAATTAACCAACGAAGAAAAATGTATTGAACCCCTACTATGTGCCAGACATTGTTCTAAAGGCAAAAATAAAACAGTCCTTGTTTCAAGGAATTTACATTTGGGGAATTGGGAGGAACAAAGACAACTCATCCACATATAAATACAAAATATACGCAAAGCAAGTCAAAGACACTAGGAGTTATGGGGTGGGGAGCAGGAAAGATAGTACTTGAGTCCATCATCAAAGGGAGCTTCTAAGAGGGACAGATAAGGATACTTGGGAAAGCTTGTACAAAAACAGAGTTGGGAGATGGAGTGGTGTATAAAGAGGAAAAAGAGGTAGGAAAAAGAGTTTGCCTGGAATATATAGTGCTTGAAAAAGAAATATCTTCATTATCAAACTCACAGAATGTTACAGCAGGGAATACTATTGTTCTGTAAGAAAAGATGGGCGGGATGTTTTCAGAAAAACTTGGAAAGATTTATAGGAACTGATGCAAAGTGAAGAGAGTAGAGTGTAGGAGAACAGTGTATAATATATATATATGTATGTGTGTATGTGTGTGTATATATGTGTGTGTGTGTATGTGTGTGTATATATATGTGTGTGTGTGTGTGTGTATGTGTGTATGTATGTGTGTGTGTGTATATATACACCCTATATACGATGATCAACTGTGAATGTCTTAGCTATTCTCAGAAATACAATGATCTAAGACAATTCCAAAGGACTCATAATGAAAAATGCTATCATCTCCAGAGAAAGAACTGATGAAGTCTGAATTCAGATCAAAGCTACTATTTTTCACTTACTGTATTTTTTTTCATGGATTTTTTCCCCTATGTTTTCTCTTACAACATGACTATTATGGAAATATGTTTTGCATGATTGCGCATGTATAACATATCAAATTGCTTGCTGCCTCAGGGAGAGGGGGGAGGAGGGAAGGAGAAAATTTGGAACTCAAAATTTTAAAAAAGGAATGTTAAAAATTATTTTTACATGTATTTGAGAAAAAATAAAACATTAAGAATAAAAAACGATTAGAGCTGGCCAAAAAAGTGGGGATATTTAAAATTGTTTTTACATATAAGTAGGAAAAAATTAAATATTATTAAGAATTAAAAAACAATTAGAGTTGTCCAAAAGATGGGGGGGAGGGGATTACCCCTGGAGAGGACCTTAGAAATCATTGCGTCCAACCTCCTCATTTTACATCAAATAGTGATTAATGAGCTCAATTCAGCACATAACCTACTTACTCCCTCTGAGCAGAAGGTGCTGGGCTCATCAGTGTCAAAAGATTATATTAGGTACTTTAAAAGTCACCTTGACTCATCTAGAAGAACAATAAAGTATGTTATTATATCAGAGCATAAAAGCAGTACTTCCAAAAGAGGCTAATGTTTCCAGGGAATGGATTGTGCTGGTTTATTAAACATTCATCCAATCATTCATCATACATATGTTTATGTTGAATGAAGTTTTATGCATTCATGTTGCTATAAATTATGAATTTTTTTTAAAGTAAAAGATCTATCCCTTACTCTCAAGGAGTTTACAATCTAGTTGGGAGGAAAAGAAGCAGAAACCGTTTTCAACCCAGCTGTTCTCCCAGACTTCATCACAGTTTCCAGAAACTCACCATCCTGCAAGATCATATCAACTCTGAAACTTATATCTCTTCTGTATCCCCTTGCCCAGGGCCCCTTATCATGCCCCATGTCAGGGTTCCTTCCCTCTGCTAACCACCTTTTGGCTTCTTTTTATGTTGTATTATTCCCATTAGATTATAAACTCCTTGAAGGCAGGAACCATCTTTTGCCTTTCTTTATATCCTCATCACTTAGGACAGTGCCTGGCATATTTGTTCCATCATTTCAGACTCTTTATGACCCCATTTGGGGTTTTCTTGGCAAAGATATTGAAGTGGTTTGACATTTCCTTCTCCAGCTCATTTCACAGATGAGGAAACTGAGATAAACAGGGTTAAGTGACTTGCTCAACAAGTGTGTGAGGCCAGATTTGAACTCACTAAGAGGAGTCTTCCTGACTTCAGGCCCATGCTCTCTATCCACTGTGCCACCTAGATACCCCATATGACCTATAAAGTCTCTCAAAGCTCTAAAATTCTATGATATGAATTAGTGTAAAATGTATCACACATTAGGCACTTAGTGGCCAAAGGCCACTAATAAATAAATGGCATTCTCTGACAATCTCAGATATGAAGATGATAACACTCTGATGGCAGAAAGTGAAGAATTGAGAAGCCTCATGATTAGAGTGAAAGAGAAGAATGTAAAAGCTAGCTTGAAGCTTAACATTCAAAAAACTAAAATCATGGCATCTGGTCCCATTGCTTCCTGGCAAATGGAGAAGAAATGGAAGCAGTGTTAGATTTTATATTCTTGGGCTCAAATTTCATTGCAGATGGTGACTGCAGCCATGAAATAAAAAGATGGCATGCTTCTTGGAAGGAAAGCTATGGCAAATCTGAACAGCATACCAAAAAGCAGAGACATCACTTCAATGACAAAGGTTCATATAATCAAAGCAGTAATAATGTATGGCTTTAAGAGCTGGACTATAAGAAAAGCTGGGCAATGCAGAATCAATGCTTTTGAATTGTGGTGCTGAGTCCCTCAGACAGCAAGGAGATCAAATCGATCAATGTGTAAAGAAATTAACTCTGACTACTCATTGGAAGGACAAATACTGATGCTGAAGCTTAAATACTTGGCCACATAATGAGAAGACAGGACTCAATGAAAAAGACCCAGATGCTTGGAAAGATTGAAGACAAAAGGAGAAGGGGACGGCAGAGGATGAGATGGATGAGTGTCATGGAAGCAATGAACATGAATTGGTTAGACTCTGAACATGGAGAACAGAAGGGCCTGGTGTGCTATGATACATTGGGTCATGAAGAGTCAGACAAAAACAAGCAAAAAAAACCCCAAAATAAACAAAAATTTTTGACAACATGTACTCTTTCATCAGGCTGACAGGCTTACTCCTGGGACTTTTATAGCCACCAGTATATAATATAGAGGACTCTGGAGAGCTCAGTTCTACTCAGTGCCTGATAATCCCTTAGGTACACACTCTTCTGAAAGTCATGGAGAATTCTTCCCCAGAGCTAAAAAGGAAAACAGAGTTGAAACTCCCTCTCTCCCCTGCAATGATTCTTGTTCCAAAGCCCACTCACTAGGACAGCCTATAGGGTAAAATCAAGAGTCTTTATGACTCCCTAGCAGCCCCTACAGGAGCTGAGACTAAGAGGTAAAAGGCAGCGAAGTACATTCAGAAATATTCCATTTCATTGCCTTTCATGAGACACTTCTGGTAACTTGACAATTTTTAACTATAACTTGCAAGCAAAATCATCACTTATGTCAACACATCAGCATTTATTAAGTACCTTTTATGTAGCAGGTGATGGGGACAGACAAAAATAAAGTAGTTCCTACCCTCAAGAAGCTTACATTCTGTCAGATATGATAACATATGTATATGTATACATATAAGCATATACAAAATAAATACATAGTAATTTTAGGGAGAGGCACTAATACCTAGAGGAAATAGATCAGGAAAGGCCTCTTACGACAGGTTTGTGTTCTATTTTTTTTTTAAGCATTAAAATATTCTCAGGAGAAACCCCTTTTCAGTATGATGCCATAATGATTAGTGTCCTTTTGTCCTATTTTCTAACATTACGAACTTCAAGGAAAGGCCCATAAAGTCCTTTTGTGTAGGGTCCTCCAAAAGGCTTATTCTACTCCACCACTGGTTCTAGCCTTGGTTCTTTCCTATTGATCTTAACAGCTCTGGTTCCTATTTCCTCATCTGTAAAATGAGAGGTTTAGACCAGGTGACCTATTTGTTCAGTTGTTTCAGTCATGTCTGACTCTTTGTGACCCCATTTGGGGTTTTCTTGGAAAAGATACTGGTGTGGCTTGCCATTTCCTTCTCCAGCTCATTTCACAGATGAGGAAACTGAGGTAAACAGGGTTAAGTATCCTGCCCAGGTTCACACAGCTAATAAGTGTCTGAAGCCAGATTTGAACTCACTAAGAGGAATCTTCCTGACTTCAAGCCTAGCACTCTATCCACTGTGCCACCTAGATACCCCAGATGACTTATAAAGTCACTCAAAGCTCTAAAATTCTGTGAGTTGAACTAGTGTAAAATTTATCAGACATTAGCACTTGGTGGCCAAAGGCATCCTGGGAAGAGAAAATCTGCTTAATTAATTGGTGATCCTTTTCTTGGGCTAGGGAAGAATGGATGATCCTTGCTATACAGACCTACTTAGGTATTTAAGGAGGAGAAACCTGTGGAAAGTACCCATTAAGTTCTTTCCCCCACCAGCACTAGAAAGAATAACTCCAGATATCCACAATCTTATGTTTTCTTCTTATCTTCTGCTTATCACTACCTGTCTCACTCTAGAGATATCCTGACCTGCTTGAGCCCCTGTGTCCTGGTGTCCCCTCGCACCAAACATACAAACACCATGACTTGACTCTACCTCAGTATGGCATTTCATTTTATAAAGCTCTATAAAGTTTTACTGTTCCTAATTTTAGAAGGTCTCTTAGGGCTTCCTGGCACTTGTGAATAATATAGTTCTCCAAAACTCCCAACAATTAAAACTTTATAGGTCCCTCCTCTTCCTCCACACCTCAAATACAAATTATAGCTAGTCTAACAGGGGCTTCTGAGGTCATAAATGTCTCAATTGGGGTTGCTTTCAGACTGCTAGAAGTTGATAACTATGCCATTTGTCCAAGGTCATCCTGAAGCAGAGTCCAAGGCTATGACAGGATTTGAGAGGCCCAGGAAAGCTCTGCCTTCTTTGCTCCACTCCCCCAGACCCCTACTTCCTTTCAAAGCTATGTCTCCCACCACCCCTACTGCCAATGTACCTGAAAATCCACTATTTCATTATTTGGGATTAAGACACTTCATTTCCAGGAAGACTCTCTAATAAATCAATATGTATTAAGAGGGATTACATACTATACCATTATAACCTTGAATTACTTAACTCCTAACAAAGTCCTGAGAATATAGGACATAGGACAGATTAGATTAGTTTTGATGAGGGAAGGAAAGTCAACAAGCATTTATCAAGCAGTTTACTATGGTGTCTGGAGCTGGGCTGAACTCTGAATACAGATACAAGCAGAAAAATAGCCTCTGACCTTAAGGAGCTTGCATTCAAATGAGGTAGACAGCATACAAAAGAAACTGAAGAAAGTCAGGAGAAAGGGAATGTACCCATCCAGGAGCATGATGAATAAAGTCTAGAGAGTCAGGAATGAAGCCTGGAAAAGAATGAAGATGTGGTAGGCCTGAGACCTTTCCTTAAAATGGAGATTCTGGAAAGAAATAACCAATAAGAGGAAGGGGCCTCAGGGCAGAGGACAATTCCAAAATGAGGAGGCCACAAGGGCAGCTTCCAAGGTGTAAAAGCTGCTGTGGAATGGTGGGGAAAGTCCTGAGAATCCAAAAAGGAACCTGAAAAGGAATGAAGGGAAGAAATGAGAGCCAGGCCTAGGCCAGGGAGCAATGAGGGAGCAGCATGAAATGGTGGTACACCTGGAAAATATGAGAATAGGAGGTTGGGAGAAGGGAGACCACAGAGAAACTTTCCCTGCTTAACTATACAGCCTGTACAGGCATGTCTCATTTTATTGCACCTCACTTTATTTACGGATATTAATTATTTTATTTAATTTGTTTGCCACAAATTAAAAGTCTGTGGCAAACCTGCATCAAGCAAGTTTATCAGCACCATTTTTCCAACAGCATGTATTCACATCATATTTCTGTGTCACATTTTGGTAATTCTTACAATATTTCAAACTTTTTAATTATTATTATATATGTTATGACTATCTGTGATCAACGATTTTTGATGTTACTATTATAATTGTTTTGGGGTACCACAAATCTTACCCGTATAAGACAACAAATTTAATCAATAAATATTGTGTGTGTTCTGACTGCTCCACTAACTAGCCATTCCCCCATCTCTCTCCCTCTCCTAGGGCTTCCCTTTCCCTGAGACACGACAATATTGAAAGTAGGCCAATTAACAACCTTACAATGGCAGCCAAGTGTGAAAGGAAGAGTCACTCAACGTGGCAAACTTCATTGTTGTCTTATTTTAAGAAACTGCCACAGCCACCCCAAGCCTTCAGCAACTACCACCCTGATGAGTCAGCAGCCATCAACATCGAGGCAAGACTATCCATCAGCAAAAAGATTATGACTCACTGAAGGCTCAGATGGCATTTTTTTAAGCAAAAAAGGTTTTTTTTTTTAAATTTAAGGTATGTACATTGGTTTTTTTAGACATAATGCTAATGTACATTTAATAGATGACAGTATAAACATAACTTTTATGTGCACAGGGAAACCAAAAAATTCATGTTACTTGCTTCGTTGCGATATTCACTTTCTTGGTGTTCTGGAACCAAACACACTATATCTCTGAGGTGTGCCTGTAGAGGTTACTAAACAAATCATGAGCCAAAAACTAAGCAACATGCTCTTTGGTCTGATCATGATATAGTTAAAGGTTCATAATTCTCCCTCAATATATTAAATTACTACATGGGTGCCTTTGGAAGAGGCAACCGGAATTTCATTATTGTTCAAAAATAATAATAATCCTTCCACAGAAGTCCTACTGTGATATTTCAGTGTGGTGTAGAATTGACCATAAAAGCTAGTAATGGAGCACAGGCTCTGGTTGGTCCAATCAAGATTGAAAAGACTCACTGATAGACTGTGGGCCAGCCTAGTTAAGTTCATGAATACCTATCTCCCAAACCATTGGTCACTTGTTGACAATGTTTGGGTTGGTTGGTTGGTTGGTTGGTTGGTTGGTTGGTTTGTTTGTTTTTTGCCATGAAGACTGATCAAACGAACAAAACCCCAAAATGGCCATCAGTCCACTGTAGCCACCTTCTTGAGGTTGAGTAGTGGGAAAGGATGCAAAGAATGTTAAAAATCACACAGTTCTTCCAATCTACAAACCTTGATGTTACTTTTGTTATTCTTGATGACAAGCTTTGTTCAATGACCAATGAATTAACGCACTAGTGGAGGACCGGAATCATATCTATGCTGATTTTCTCAGTAGAAATAAAGCCAGAAGATATTATGAACTTGAACTTGCATGAAAAGATGGTTTATCAGAGAGGTCACTAAAGACATTGGTAAAGTTGGTTGCATACTGTAGCTGAAGACAAGAAGAAACCTCATTTCATAGAACTTAGTCATGTAAGTAAGCAGGTGACTGATTGTTACCTTTTCAGTGTGAGCATTTATACCTTAGAAATCAGCCAATGCTACAGATCAGTGCTTGATTTATTGTTTTGTTGATTGTCTAGACTTAAAAATGTGACGGAAAATGTTAATAATGCCAATTAAACTTAAAAACGTGTCCTGAGTTTTGGAGATCCAGTTGTTAAACATTTACCAACAGCATATTCCTCCACACAGAGCACCACAAATGGCATTGCACTTTTATTCCATCCATGGCACAGGATGAAATTTTTAAAAAAATCCATGATGAACTGGACAAGATTCTCCAAATTAGTGATAATCAGCAACTTTAATGCCAAATGGACAAAGAAGAGAGGGAAAAAACCATAATATGACATTAAAAAAGTATAGAGAAGAGAAAAGGAACTTAAGAATGGGGCATAGACAAACAGGATAGTTTGTGACTGCAATGTTAAATTTAATGTACCCTTTTTTAAAAAAACTAAGGGAAATTTATAGTTTTGTTCATATGCCATTGTATTTTTTTCTTCTTCATATATTGAAATGTTCATGTTTGTTGCTGCTTAAGTTCATAATAAAAAAGAATTGTCTTAAAAAAAGAAGTATGGTTTAGGATAAAGAAACAAAAGAAGTCAAAGGCTTAGATGGAGCATGGGGGAGAAGGGATTCACTAAATTTGGAGCCCAAAGATGATCAGGGAAAAAGGAGTTATAGCAGCTCTCTTTGCCATGGAAAGAACTGGAAATTGTAGGAATACCCATCAATTGGTGAATGGATGAACAAGTTGTGGTATATGATAGTAATGGAATACTGCTGTGTTTTGAGAAATGATGAGCTCATTAATTATAGAAAATCATGGATAGACTTGCACGAAATAATGAAGAGTGAAATAAGTAGAACCACAAGAATGTTGTATACAGTAATGACAATATTGTTTTAAAAACAACTTTGAGTAACTAAGTTATTTTGAGTATTATAAATGCCCAAATTAACTATAAAGGACCATGAAGGAAGACACTATCTGTATCCAGAGAAAGAACTGCTAAATAAAAATTTGTATAGAATGATTTTATATATGTGTGTGTGTTTATATATATATGTATGTGTATAGATATACATATGTGTAATACATATTTGTGTCTAATGGTAGCCATCTCTAGGGTGGGGGAGGAGGGAAGAAAAAAGTTACATAATAACTATTAGTTATTTAAAAGGAATAGCAGGTTGAACATAATAGATTTGCAGTTTCATGTGTAATCATCTTTTTTTTTAATTCTACTATATTATGGAAATTGTTGTGTATTTCATAAATTAAAATAAAATAAAAATCTGGAGCCAGAAGATCTGACTCCATTCCCTGCTGTGCCACTTACTTTCTGTATGACCTTGAACAAATTACTTCCCTTCCCTTCTCTGTGGCTGTTTCCTCAGCTGTTACATGATGGGGTTGGACTAAATGAACTGTAAGGACTATAGATTTAGGCTGAAAGGGACTTTACAGGCTGTCCAGTACAAGTCTTTCATCTTATAGATACTCAAGGGGTACATCTATAGATGATGAATATTTTCTTCATAAAGATGTCAGAAGGTATTAGATGTGTCCAGCACTAACCAACATCATAAAAGGTTAAATGACTATATCTTAACAGACAAGAAATAGCTGGCTCCCAAGGTAGCAGTTATTTCAGAATCAGTTGTCCATGTATTAAAAATCAAACAAAGGTCAAGGTTAATGTAAAATTAAAAGTAACAAAGATAAAAAGACTATATATGAAAAAGACTATGTATGTATATATGCATATATACACATACGTATGTTCCAAACATACATATGTGTACATATAGAGAGCGCTCCAAAATTATCTGCTTAAATAAGCCATCCATTCCAAAAAATGGAAAATGGTATAAACACCAACTCTATCACCTTTGATTAAATTACTTCAATTGACCACCACATTAAAGAGGTCAAAAGAACCCAAAAATTGTTTTGGCCACAAAGCTCCTTAATCTCCTTTCTAAGCAAAAATGTATGGTAGCCAAGGGTCACATTAACAGAGAATACAAGTTCCCCTTATAAAGCATGAATGAAGATGAAAAATTACCAATAGTATCCCAACACAAAACACTAAAAAGCATTTGAAGAAAAAACAAGCCAGCAGAGGGCTTGGCATGAAGTCAAGCTAAGCCAGATCATCCTGAGGGAATTTATTAATGAAAGTGGAAAGTCAACAAAGAGGTACAAAATAGAACAGATCTGACAGTGCTTTTATAGTGATCCATTTTGATCAACAAAAACAGTGGAATTACAGTGGAACATTCAGAATCTACTAACCTTACTACCTAATGTACTACCTAATGAGGAGGTTGTAATGTCACTTAAGAGGATGAACTAAGGACTGGACATGACTAGAAATCTATGCTAGAAATAACATAATTTTAAAAGCAATCAGGGATCAGTTTTCAAGACTTCTCAAAAAAGGAAAAGAAAAGAAAATCTCCCCAAATTATAGATGCTGCTTTTACCAAAAAAAAAAAAAGATAGTAAAGACAACACACTTTCCCCCTCGTCTTCACAAAATCTTTAGGAGAATTATCTATGTGTGCATAAAGTATATCCTTGACTTACATTTTTAAAATGAGATGGAAATAGCCAGGCTTTCACACATGATTTTCTGTAGCAGACCACATCTTTATGGTCATACAACTAAGAGGTATAAAAAATAACCAGCTCTGACTGTAACAATTGGGATTTTCAAGGATTTGACTTGGTAGAGCAGAATGTAGGAGATCCTTAAACAATATGCCTCCCACATATTAAAATTATATAACAATCTGTGGCAGCTGCCAACTATGGAGATAATAGCTATTCTATTGAATAGTGACATCTTGTGAGGTATAGAACAGAGAGACCTGTGTTTGCCTAAGGTGTTCACCAATGCCATGAGAAATACTGTGTGCAAAGACCAAACAAAGGAATTGCTGAAATAAAGGTTTTTCAAATGTTGTTTACATTAAGAACCTTGGAGAAAGGCAGATGGTGGTATAAAGAAACTACAGTATTCCACAACTTTCCCCTTAATTATCCCCCCCACCTTGGGCCATTATAAAATCATCAAAGCATTCTCTTAACATGGGTGATTCAGCATTGTTTGGTTTGGTGCAATGGAGTCTGACACCTGGCTGTGTTTGTGTCAGAGCATGGAGTAATTACTAAGGGAGTGAAATAGAATGGGGCACAAGAGACAGAGAGTGTTAATCAGTCACTGAGTTCAGGCAGAGAAGATGATGAATATTAGGGAGTAAGTTCGAGGGAAGAAGAGCATCTATTCGTATGTTGATTGTTGGTACTGATTCTGTGTTCGGAACAAGAATCTGAGACGAGAGTTGGAGCTGAATGGGCAGACTGTGACCTAGAGATGGAAATACTTTTGTGTGGTGGGCCACAGAAGATGTACCCTTGGTGCCAAGTCCCACAGAATAATTTGGGGGAACTATGTTGAGAGAGCCCTTTCTCAGATGTTGCATATCTGAATGGCACAGAGTTGAGCCCTCAGTAGTCTTGCAGAAGAAAAGAGGGTATTTTATTACTTGCCATTAATTACACTTACACCTGAGCTCTGGTCTATTTGCTTCTTCTGGAGCATTCTCTTTTCCTAAAGGTTGAAGAATGGTGTCAGTGGTGACCTATAATGACTCAGTACCTGAGTTGAGTCTTGAAGGAAGCTAAGGATTCTAAAAGGCAGAGGTCAGGAGAAAGTATATTCCAGACATAAGGCCTTAGCAAAGACGGAGAGATAGGGAATGAAATGTGGAGTTCAGGGGACAAGTAGGCCAGTTCAGCTGGAACAGAAAGTCTATAATGGGGATTAATGGTAAGTAAGTCTGGAAAGATGATCTGGAGCCAGACAATGAAAATCTTTAAATGGCTGGCTGAAGAGTTTGTACTTTATGCTTGAAATAATAGGGAGCCACTAAAAACTGTTTAGCAGCAGAATGGTGTGG